CCATGGAATCCTTAGCAATCTTCTAATGTCCACATTTCAAACGCGGTAAGTCGATTTATTGTATTCCGGTTTAATGTCCATGATTCAGCTCCATAGTAGAGTACACTGTGTACATAACATTTAATTAGCCTTATTCTGAGGGCCAATGTCAGATCTTTGCTGCATAAAATCTTTTCATTTTCACAAAGTTGGCACGTGCTTTTTCAATTCTGACTCTTATCTCTGCAGTATAATCCTTATTTTCTGTGATTATCGTACCCAAGTAAATATATCTTTTTACTCTCTGAATCTGCTGGCCGCATACCGTTAATATTTCATTTGTATTGTTGTTCTTACTAATTTTCATGAATTTGGTTTTTTTGATGTTAAGAGAGTCCGTATTCTCCACTATATCTTAATATTTTGTTCATTATTCTTTCTAAGTCTTCCAAGTTTTCGGCGATTATGAATGTATCGTCGGCATACCTTCTCCTTATAGTGCAGTGCACCTATAGTGCGTTGGCGAATTATTCCAGACGTCTGTCTTTTGCGGCATGCAAAAGATCGCTAGTGTTATTTATGCCCGTCCAGTTTTTATGTTTCGTAGCCACGACATTTGTTTGCGACCTACTCCCCTCTTTCCTTCAATCTTTCTCTGGATGATTAGTTGAGTGGTTGTGTATTTTTTTCCTCTCAGAATATGGCCGAGGTATCCAATTTTTCGTACCTTGATCAAATTGAGTAGTTCTCAGTATTTGCCTTTCTTAAGACTTTCTCCTTTCTCACCCTATCTGTCCATGGTATGTGGAACATTCTTCGCAACGTCCACATTTCGAAGGCCTCCAACTTATTAATGGAAGGTACTCTTAACGTCCATGTTTCCATGCCTTATAACAATAAGGACCATACATAGCATTTAACCATCCTGTAGCGGAGATTGAAGGAAATATTGCGGTTACATAGTAGCGGTTTAAAGTTCTTAAGTATTTAAATGTTTCCACTTGATCGATTGGAGCACCATCTACTTGCAGTTGTATTCTTAAAAGTGTGTTTTTTCTTATTGCCATGCATTTAGTTTTTCCGGCATTTATCTTCAAGCCATATATTTTTCCTACGGTGTTTATTTGATTTAACATTAACTGCATATCATGTTCGTTGTCTGTTATTATCGCGGTGTCGTCGGCGTAAGGAATGTTATTTATCGGGAACCCGTTGACCTTTTAGTTGACGTTTAGAGATTGAAGAGCATAGGAGACAAAATACACCCTTGTCGCACCCCTCTTAAAATTTCAAATTTTTCTTTGTTGGTTGATTTGTTCAGTCTCACTGGTGCTTTTTGATTCCAATAGCGATTCTGGATAACTCTTATATCTTTCTCGTCAATGTTAGCGTTGTGTAGCATTTTTATCATTGCGTCATGTTTTAGGTGTCAAACGCTTTTTCATAATCGAGGAATGTTATGACTACATACTTTCGTTGATCCATGCAGTTTTGTACAAGCGTATTCAAGCAGAAAGCTGCTTCACGTGTACCTAGTCCACTCTTGAAACCAAATTGTGGCATACCTAATGTTCTTACTTAAACTGTGCCGACTGTCTCGTTTACGAAAGCTTCTTGTATGATTTCTTCAAAATACGCATTAAACAATAACGGCGACAGTATGCAACCTTGCCTGGCCCCTCTCCTTATCTCCACTTCTTCTGACACTTCTCTTCCAATTTTCACATTTGATCGTTGGCTGTAGTATAAATTTGATATCAATGTTACTTCCCCCACATCCAGATTCTTGTTTTTGAGTACGTCTATAAGTCGGCCATGTTTTACTTTATCGAATGCCTTGTAGTCTATAAAGCATACATAAAGATCTCGATTAACATCCAAACATCTTTGGGTCAGCACGTTAAAAGAAAATAGTGCCTCTCTTGTTCCCATTCCATTCCGAAATCCAAACTGGAAATCACTAAACCCATCTCCAGCTTAGCGTGTATTCTATTTAGGACATTTTAAGGACATTTAATGAGTGGTAATTTAATCGCATTTTCATTGGAGGAATGAGTAACATTAATTGCACTAAGATTCTGTGACAGAACTTATTTCATATTTTCTTAAAATTGTGTCTTACCCAAACAGTCTATTAAAAAATTTGAAAAAACATACCTTTCTTGAAGTTGTGCTTCAAGATCATCATCAGTACAAACATATTCTATTTCTGATTGAATTTCTTCAAACTCAGTCTCTAGCACTTCTAATTTGGTTTATTTTAATTGTAACTCTAGAACGTATTTAATGTCTAATTGTTCCTCTGCCACAAATTTTAAATAGATAGGTTCAAAATAGGTTTTAAAACTAGTCAATTTATGCTTAACGCTGCCGCATTTGCGTGTATGTAAACGTAAATCTACGGCCATTTTGTAATCAAATAGTTAATTTCGTTAATACTTAAAAATACAATTATTGCTCTAGTCTATGTAACTATATCGTAATTGAAATATTTAATCAAATATTCCTAAACTGATTATTAATTGTTCTGAAGCTATTTTCTTGTGGCATTTCACTTTTTGTATTTTGAGAACGATTTCCGAAGTGGAAATTGAAACGTCAATAATAGTATATTACATAACGAGAGTTGTAAGAAGCTTATTACATGCACGTAAAAAAGTTGCGCGCGAGCCGCGTAGCTGCGAGCGCAGTAATTTTACAAGCATGTAATAAGCTTACAACTCAAGTTGTGTACTATACTTTTTCTACGATTATTTTCGTTTATAAAAATAAAAATTAAATTACCACTGTATTTACACTGACAGATTAATAATTTTTAATCTGTCAAAATAACGTCTGTTAATTCGTTTCCATGGTAACTCGACCAAGTGACTTACGAGGCTTATGTGATATTACACATTTTAATAAAACTGAAGCGTAATTTTTTTTATTACGTGCTAGTCATTACGTGTCAGTATCTGTTATGATGCATTTACTTAGCATCCAAAAAGTAGGTAATATACAATTTACTAGTAAGGGAGTAGAAAAACGTATTTTTATCTTTAATTGTGGCTTATTCCCAGTTAAATAGTAATTTATTTATTAATTATTATAATCAAAATATTAAAATCAAAGTATTATCAGTATTATAACTAAATTGCAAGATATCAAACTAAAATCGTTTAATTGAAATTGAAGCAACATTTAACGTAATAAATAAAGAAGTCGTAAAATTGGAATAGACCTACTTGAATTTCATTCAATGTCGGCGTCGGCTTCTGTTCACCTCCATTCACCAATAACACTTGTATTAATTGTTGTCGACGATTATAATACTTCTTTGTTTGATCCGGCTCGAAGGACCATTTGTTTTGGCTTCAATAGAGTGGACTGTATGAAAATGGTTACTTTTTATTGATATATAAAATTACACATTCACAATGTTAAAACTTGAAATACGTAAAAATATAAACTGAATAATATTGTTCTTTTCACATTCGATGTTGGAATTGGAATGAATTCTTGTTACTTCCTTTTTGTTTTCTTCACTGGTGTCTTGTAACGTCGACGAATTGAAACTGAGGTGAATCAGAAAGTATTTAACACTAAGTTTAAACGACTTTAAAGATACCTAACTGTTTATATCACATGAGTATGCGATAGAATAAAAATATGCGTTATTGTCACTGAAAATTGTACAATTTTATGGACAAAGTTTACAAAAAGTTAGAAAATATCAATAATCATTAAAATTTACTAAAATTACATAAATTGGCAATATCACAAAATAAAAGATAATAAAAATAAACAATCTTTAGAAATAAACTTTAACTTATTAGGAACAAATAAATTGAAGTTGCTGCATATGATACCAAAATATATATATATAAAAATACTTTAGTTACTTGTATATAAAGGTACTGTAATTTCTTAGTTATTCGTTAAGACACTCTTCTACTGAATAATATGCTCTTTCAGATAGATAGGCTTTTGTCATTTTACAGAACTGGAAGAAAGATGTTGCAGATTTAAGTTGTAAAGGTGTAGCATGTTGAAAATTTCTTAAACTATGTAATATTTATGTATAAAGTTTTCTAAGTACGTCCCTGACCCAAATATAAATATTTCCCTGTTTATTTGTGATGTAAAGAAAAATATGGTTGTATCGATTGGTATGTGTTATCTACAATTTAAAAGAATTGTTTTAATTCAAGGTTAAATACCCTGTTTGCCAAGAATTTGGTTGCGAGAACGAGTTTTTAGGTAAAAAATAGTGGATAGCAGCCGGCCGGTGGATACAGTAAGATCGGTTGAGGGGAATTGATGTCAGGTTTGGAAGATGGCCCATTGAAAGCAGAGGTTGTTTAGTTTAGTCAAAAAAAAACGGCAAATTGTCATAAAAAGTGATTTTTTTACTCAAAGTAATGTGTTGGCTCTGAAAGAGTAATCACTGTTTTTTTTTTGTTGTGTGCCATATCTTATGTGAGAGATATTAAATGGCGTTTTGCAACAGTTTTGTAGATGACCTCATGTTGCCGTTGTGTTTTACCCACATGTTCCAGTTTTTTAAGGAGACGAGTTTTCCAAGGTTTGTGTTCCAGTGCTAGCTTCCATCCTCATTTTGTTATCCCTGGTCATCGTCCCAGTCTATAGATACAGTTTTTTGCGTGGCAGTGAATCTCCAGTTCCAACCTCAGAATTGTTAAGTATAGAAATTTAGTGAAAATCAAGGTAACTTTTTTTGTGTTCAATTGTAAAGTAAAAATAGACAGTTTAATAATAATATTTTGCTTTCATTAAAATTAAAGAATTTGTAATAATTAAAAATATATGTATTGGGGCGTGGTCATAGCTGTCATAATTATTCTCAGTTTTAAATTTAATGTTGACATATGACAGCTCATTTTATTACTTTTGACATTAATTTGCTTTGGTTTTTTTAAAGAAGGTTATCCTCTCTATGAATAGTTTCATTTGAAAGGTATTCCTTTATTTGTAATAAATTATTTCTGACACAGTTTATAGTACAATAACATTTGTAGGTTTTGTAGCAACTCCCACTTAAACAAAGTTTGTAAAACGAATAGGACATATATGTAAGTTTTTCTTTTTTATTATTTTGGTATAAATCCTTGTAATTATTTATATCGTAAGTATTTTTTGTGCCATCTATATTTTGTAACTGTTTGAGGTGAGACACAATAAATGTTTATTTTTTTTTAAACCATATTTTAAGTTATTTCTCTTAACTAACTCTCTAACCCCTTTTTGAGTTTCATTTAAAAACATATATTTTTCATTTCTAATAATTATTTCAATAGTTACAACTAGTTGTTGTAATCGTTATATTTTGTCACCTCAAAGCTGCGTCCATTTTAAATAGCTAGAGGTCTTTCCTGTTGTTTTGTTTGTTCCAAGAGACTTATCTAAGTACCCCATTGTTTCATTTTTGTAGTTGCCCCAATCCAACCCCCTTGCCATTCACTTATTCACGACCCAGCTACTCCAAATAAACCCTGTTCGCATAAGTATCGTTTATTTTGCTTGCCCTATCTCCACCCCCAATAATTTCTGTCCCAATATTTCAAACCCCATAATAATACCCTATGTGGTAGGCAAAATATTTCGTTACAAAGGGAGATGGTTATACAGTTTTTTTTGCTGAATATAATATACCTAGATTTCAGACAATGATGAGTTTACACCCAACATAAACAAATATATTTTCCTCAACGCACAGCGTCACAGTGTTGCCATATTCTTTTGTAAAATGTATATGAATGTTTAAAATATAAAGTTACTTTTACGAAATTAGAATTTTGTGTTATGAGAAGCTACAAGTTTTGAATAAGTATAAAACAGCATTCATAAATATTTTTCTGTTAGTATCAATATAGTTAAACATTGTAAATTATTTGTAGCAACTAAGTTTTGATAAAAAAAAGATTTTTTTTTGATAAAAGTTATAGAAAAAGCTGAAGAATATATATACTTAGGACAAAAAATAATCCTAAATAGGTAAATTTAAACGGAAGAAATAAAAAGAAGAAGAACGTTAGCTTGGGCAGCATTCGGTAAACTGAACTATATGCTCAGAAATCAACAAATTCAATTACATCTTAGATCTAAAGTTTTTGATGCATGCAATATACTTAAAGTCACTCAACACGTGATGGAAAGAGCAATGCTAGGTATATCACTTAAGGACAAGAAAACAAACACATGGATAAGACAGAAAACCAAAGTCACCGATGTGGTGCAAAAATCATTAAAGTTGAAATGGGAATAAAAAAACGTACCTCTTCGTCCCATTGTGACTACGATTAACTCTCCTACCTACAAACTCGCAAAGTACTTATACTGGTCGTACCTCTTCTTATGTCCGAAATTCCACACATTTCATCACCTTAATCTCCTCCCTCACGGTCGATCCCCAATACATTCTCGTCAGTTTCGATGTATTATCCCTATTTACCAATATCCCCATACATGACTCTCTAGTTGTTCTGTGAGATCACTTGACCAATGATAACAAGTCTTTGGTTTTGGCAGATCTTGCGGAAAAATGCCTCCTCTTAACATATTTTTCTTTTAGAGGCAATTTCTACAAACAAATATCTGGGACACCAATGGGTTCTCCCCTTTCCCCTGTCATTACTGACATTTTCATGGAAGCCTTTGAGTCTTTAGCCCTAGAATCTTACCCCTTAAAACCAAAAGTCTGGTTCCGCTACGTTGATGATACATTTATCATCTGGCCCCATGGTCAACATACCCTTTCTCCCTTCCTAGATCATCTTAACTCACAACATCCGAGTATAAAATTCACAATGGAAGTATAAAATAATCGGTCCCTTCCCTTTCTCGATGTGTTAGTCACCTCCAAGCCCAATGGCCGATTGGGTCACTCTGTTTATAGAAAAAAGACTCACACGAATCGTTACCTACATGCTTCATCACACCACCATCCTGCCCAAAATAATTCTGTGATCAACTCTCTCATCCATCGGGCCATTTCGATTTCGGAACCTGACAACCTTAGAGAAGAACTTGGCCATCTGCAAAAAACCCTTATCGCCAACGGTTACTCCAAGTCCACAATTCAAAATATTAGACACCGACATCTACATCCCCCTTTACACCCTAGGACGACAAATTCAGAATCTTCGGGTAATACTCATGTGGCTTTTCTTCCGTATATTCGAAGTGTCACTGATAGGATTGGCAAAATTCTTCGCAAAGAAGGTATCAGGACTACTTTTCGACCACCCAAGAAAATCTCACAGTATCTACCCTCTCCTAAGGACCCATTACCGCCCCTATCTTCCTGTGGTGTCTATTCTATTCCTTGTTCATGTGGACATGTGTACATTGGCGAAACTGGTCGTTCCGTCAAAACTCGGATTCAAGAGCATCAAAGATGCATTCGATCAGGTCTTTTCTCCCATTCTGCAGTTGCAAAACACTGCCGAGAAACCGGTCATTCCATATTGTTCGAAAAAACCCATATTATTTCTAAGAGCCCCTTCTTTTATTCCAGGAAAATCCGCGAATCTCTAGAGATCCGAAAAAATCCACATAATATCAATCGAGAGGAAGGATACTACTTGTCTCCCATCTGGAATCTGTCTAGAGCCGCCGTCCGGTCCCGCTACCACGATGCAGCCATATGATTGGCCAACGCGCGCTTCTTGACGTTCGCGCCACGGAGTGTGCCGATACGTCCCGACACGACAGGTCACCGCGACTATAAATAGAGCGGTAGCGGAGTAATCGAGGGATTCACTCCCCGCCTCTCAACGCGTTAGTGTTCTGAGCTGTTGGACGTGAATCCCTGTCCTGGCATTTGGTTTTCACCTCTGGCTGCGTTAGGTAGTTGAGTTACTGTGACCAAATGCCAATCTTGGTAGTTAGTATTCGCCTCTGGTTGCGTTGACTATGCACTCAGGCAGTTTATCCAAATGCTTTTGAAAACACCCATTTTTAACATAACGTAACATAATTTTACCATAACAAACATTCAAAAATATACCAACATGACAGAGGTAAGATTCACTAGTTTTACAGAAAAACTACTATACACTATAATAAACTAAACTGCAAATTAACACCATAGGTACTTTTCAAGGCACTATAATGCTTTAACTGAAGGAAAAACACGGCAAATTGTTACAATGTCAAAAAAAGTTGTTTATCATTACAAATAATGGACCTGAGGGATCTTTACTACGTCACAAACCTGACTCAGCTGTCAAATGTCATGCGCAATAATATCATACCTTATATTCATTGTACCACTCATATTGTTCAGCTTGGGAATATTTTGACAGATTCATTGCAGGAAACATACTACTTTCTAAAATTTCTAACTATAAAATTTCAAAGATAAACATTTAAACTTTTGTGTTTTAATGGATGCATGTTAATAGACCGCATGTGAATATTTTTGTGTGGTAAAGTTACAGTTAATATTGTCGTGATTTCCAACCACTTCCTGGTGGTCAAAATTTAATCAATGTAGTAAAAAAATTATTACTGAATTTATTAGACAGTTGGGATTGGGATTAGTGAACTAGGTATATAAACATTTAAAAGTTGATTTGTTTTATTAAAATTTAAGATTTTTTACAATCTGTTAAACAATAAGTAATCGTTTTTCTTTAAAATGTCAGAGAGATGTAAGGTCCAGTGACCAAAGCTCAGAAGTTGAATTCTCCCTATTATCTTGGCGATATATCATTATTAGCTGGACTACTCCGTTTGGGGTTTAGCTTCTTCTATATTTCCAATTAATATTTAGAATTAATTTTATTTATTTTCGTAACATGTCAATTATTATAGTTACAGCCATGGAACCGCTAATTTAAAAAGTCCCTCTCAATATGGACTCTATATAACAGAAGAAGATGGGGAAGTTGATAGTGACTTTCCTTGTTTAGATCCTAAGGAGCCGATTTTAAAATTTGGCTTTATTTGTCTTGGATTGGTTGAACACAAAGATGCGGGAAAGTCTGTTTCATTTCCTGAAGATAATACAATATTATTCACTATAGAAGAACTCAATAGAACTCGGACAGTGTCAGAAAAGAGTAAAACGTATGAAAATAAACAGATGGAGAATTACATACAAGCGGTGAGCTTTTATAATATATTTATATATATATATATATATATATATATATATATACATAAATAAATATATATACATAAATAAATATATATACATATATATATATATATATATATATATATATATATATATATATATATATATATATATATATATATATTGCTATGATGTGTTGTTTGTGTAATTGTTATGAGCAATGAGTATTTTAAAATAACATATTGTACCGTTTTTAAATAAAACGAGCGGTTCGAATTTATATAAATATATTTATAACTTTACAGTTCGATACTATCTTATCAACTAAACTGACTCCTAATATCGTTACATATATATACCAAAGTTACTATGTTCTAGAAAGTTCCCACCTCTAATTCGCGTACGTGACCGATTGTTCTCTTGCCTTCGAGAGATCTGGTGATGATTCTGGAAGCCGTTTCGAGATGCAACCGTTATATGAGCCATGCCGAAAGCATGTTCGTAACAATATATATATATATATATATATATATATATATATATATATATATATATATATATATATTTGGTTTTTGTTGCGGTTCTCAAAGAATTAGTTTGTAAGCACTTTTTGAAATTATCTTTATTATAATTACTATGAAACACACATATATATCTAATATAGACAATATAAATTTAGAACAACCTATCTTAAATTGAAATTCTTATTACAATAATTAAATTATATTAACAAAATTTGGTGCGTTTCTGTCATTGAATGCCTAAATGAAACTGTTTTCCAAAATAAAGATTTTAATCACCACTCAATGTCTTCGTTATCAGCCTCGGTTATCCTTCTTTTTGTGAAATTGTTTCGCCAAATACACCACAATGTTTTAATTATCAGCTTCCACCATTTTAAATATTTTTCTTTTAATAGCATTTATAAATCGGCAAAATATTCTTTTTTCTTTGTTGCTTTCTTGTTTATTCTTCTTTTTAATAATCTTTTTTTCTCTTCCAATCTCCAATCACCATATAGATAATATAATTTTTAATCTCTTCTAATCACCATATACATAATATAATTTTTAATCTTCAACTAATACTCTCTTAATACTATTTTTTAATCTCCATGTAATATACTTTCCACTACTATAAAATGTTCATACTAAATCACTGATTACTGACTACTGTCTTGAATACTGCTATTCTAATACTGACCATTGACTACTGCATACTGTTCTCCAAATCACAGAGTATTTATATCATTTCAATGTTCCCGAATATTTTTGAAAGAAAATATATTCGAATCCTTTTATTTCATAAATATTTGAATGTTCGCGAATATTCTACTACGAGAAAAGGTTAAATTCTTTCTATTGACGTCTTTTTCTAGATAATTCTTTACTTTTCTATCGAGAATTTTATGGAAATTTAGGCTTTTCAGATCAGAATGTAAACTTATATATAAATTAAACATCTTAAATTAATAAATAACACTATTTTAAATCCATAATTATCATTTCAAATATATACTTTCTGTTCAAATTCACTCTTATTCACAAAAGTCATAATAACCAAACTTACATCAGTGTTTATTTGGTTGCCTATAAAGATGGCGCACTCAAATATATTTATAATATCATAATTATTAAAATAACCAAATACATTGCAAAATAAAAACTTTTTAAATTTATTATTATGCTAATTTCTTAAAAATGCCATCATATAAATACTTTTTATAATATTCTCTGGTATATGACTTATAAATTATTTATTTGATCACTATTTAAGTTCATTCTAGATTACCTTCGTTTCTCCTATATTTAATATTATCTCAATACCCCAAAATTAATTTTAAAAGAAATAATTCATTTATTATTTTTTTAAACATTGATTTTCTTATCCACACACATTCGTAAATATAATAAATTAAATAATTCAATTTCTTATTTAAAATTGCTCCATTAAGTACGCCTATGTTCCTTGTCTATGTCAACTGTCATGTCATATGTAAGCTATATTTTGTGTTTACAAAGGAAAGAGATAATAAGCCTCTGTAATTTGGTGTTTATTAATAGAAAAGATTTAGGAAACCATTCATTTCATTTTCCTTCTTTCCGTTCAAAAGACTCTCATCAATATGAATGGTAAGTTGTATATATATATATATATATATATATATATATATATATATATAATCTATATGAAACTTAGAGCTAAGATTAAGATTATTACTAAAATTAATGTGAAACTCACCAGTCTTCCGGGTTGAACCGCGTCGATATCCATTTTGCCGAGCTTTCGGCATCCTCTCTGATGCCTTCCTCAGAGCTTCCGAGGTCTCAGTCTCCCGAGCCCCCAGACACTACTACACTGTTCACTGATCACTGCACTGTCACTACTCTACTACTACAGTAGTGACAGTGCAGTGATCAGTGAACAGTGTAGTAGTGTCTGGGGGCTCGGGAGACTGAGACCTCGAAGCCCTGAGGAAGGCATCAGAGAGGATGCCGAAAGCTCGGCAAAATGGATATCGACGCGGTTCAACCCGGAAGACTGGTGAGTTTGATACCCGCCGATATAAATAGCATATACGGCATAACAGACATACTTAGTACGAGAGTTGAAATCGAGCCATTAAGGAGTTCCAGATTAGTCCCACAATGTAAAAGATGCCAGGCTTACGGACACACGTGGAAATACTGTAAAAAGGAGCCAAGATGTGTAAAATGTATTGGTAAACACCTTACTAAAGATTGCCAAAAACCACCAGAAGATAAACCAAAATGTGTTTATTGTGGAGAAAACCATCCTGCAAACTACCGCGGATGTTATGTAGCTAAAAAATTACAAACAATAAGAAACGAGAGAACAAACAAAAACAATGTTATAAAAGCACCTCATAGAGTTATTGAAAGCAAAAAACTAAAAACGGCAGAGGTCAGTGAAAATAGAAGTTACAGCGATGTAACAAAGAATGCAAGGAGACATGCATCATCGCAACAAGAAAAAGAAACTGATATTACATTAAAAATGATATTGGAAAAGCTCACCAAGATTGATGACAAAATAACTCAAATCGATATCAGAGCTACCCGACTAGAGCATAGCGCTAAAGGAGCTATTCCGAAAATCAGAAATGGCTACTAAATACCTCCGAATAATGGCGTGGAACGCAAATGGACTGTTACAACATCAGATCGAGTTGCAAGCAGTACTAGATATTGAGAAAATTGATCTGTGTCTCGTTTCTGAAACACACTTCACTAAACAATCATATGTTAAATTTAGGGGGTATAGAGTATATTCTACTGTACACCCAGATAATGCAGCTAAAGGAGGAAGCGCTATTATAATTAAAGATAACATCTTGCATCATGAGGAATTAAAATATGCAACTGAGCACATACAAGCTACAACAGTCTGTGTGAAGATGAAAACACATACCTTAAATATAAGTTCAATATATTGTCCTCCTAGACACTCCATTAAAAGACAGCAATATAAAGAGTTTATGAACACTTTAGGAAAAAGATACATCGGTGGCGACTTTAATGCAAAAAATACCCACTGGGGCCCTAGGCTAACTACAACTAAAGGAAAAGAACTATTGTCAGCTGTTAAGGAACAAAAGGGTGAAGTAATCTCTACTGGTAGACCAACATACTGGCCTACCGATAGGAACAAAATTCCAGACCTGATAGATTTCTTTATTTACAAAAATATATCAGCTAACTATCTGGATATCAATGACGGCTGGGACATGAACTCTGATCACTCGCCGATAATTCTAACTATGAGTGATACAGTGATTAAAAAAGAGTTCAATCCAATATTGACTAATAAAAAAACTGACTGGGAGAGCTTCAAAATAAACCTTGAACACAAAATTAATCTTGCTGTTCCATTAAGAAACACGAGGCAACTCGATGACGAATTAGAAGTTTTTATAAAAAATATCCAACAGTCAGCTTGGGAAAATACTCCCACAATAACTTCTAGAACAAAAGGGAATAACTATCCAAAAGAAATCAGAGAACTCATAGTAGAAAAAAGGAAGTTAAGAAAAAAATGGCAGCAATACAGAGCTCCACGAGACAAAACTAGTCTAAATAATGCTATACAAAAACTAAAAAGGGAGATACAGAATATAAAAAAATCAACAATTATTTTTTAAGTAATTTAACAGCTGACCAGAACACAGATTATTCTTTACGGAAGGCAACAAAAAGATTGAAGAGACCAATTATTCATTCCCCTCCTATCAAGTTGGAAAACGGCAACTGGGCTAGAAGTAATGAACAGAAAGCAGAACGATTTGCAGATCGTTTAGAAAGCACGTTCAAACCCAACGACAATGATAGTGAAGAACAGAGATGGGAAGAACCATTCCAAACTGACGAAAGAATAACATTGACATCACTTAGAGAAATATCAACAGAGATAAAAGAGAATATAAATCCGAAGAAAGCTCCAGGATATGATCTCATAACAGGAGAATTATTAAAAAATCTACCAAGAAAAGCCATAGTTAAGCTGACACACCTAATAAATGCTGCTTTTAGATTGAGATATGTTCCCAGACTCTGGTAAGTAGCCGAAGTAATTATGATCGCCAAACCAGGTAAATCTCCTAATGAAGTGACATCCTATCGACCAATATCCCTCCTTCCGGTGATGTCAAAACTATTTGAAAAACTTCTATTAAAAAGATTAAAACCAATAATAGAAAAAAAAATCTTTAACCAAATCATCAATTTGGTTTCAGAAATCAACATTCCACTATAGATCAAGTCCACAGAATAACGAATATAATAGAAAAAACATTAGAAGAAAATAAAGTCTGCTCTACAATCTTCTTGGATGTAGCACAGGCGTTTGATAAAGTCTGGCATGACGGTTTAAACTATAAACTAAGAACTTTCATGCCTAAACAGTATTCAGAAATCTTGAAATCATACATTGCGAATGGATATTTCAGAGTAAAACAAGAAGAAGTGTACACAAGGGAGATCAAAGCTGGCGTGCCACAAGGAAGTGTC